CCGGGCATCCCCGCCGGGATGCAGCCGGGGACGCGCCAAGGTGAACGGTGCACGCCGGAGCGGGGCCGCCGGCAGCGGGGACACCGGGAGGGGCACCGGGGATGGAGCACCTGGGAGGGGACACCGGGGAGGGGGACAACCGGGGATGCCGGGGGTAGGGACCACTAGGCACCAAGGACCACCAGCACCGGGGACACCGGGATGGGGACCGCCAGCACTGGGGGCACCAGCGACGGGGACACGGGGATGGGGACCGCCAGCACCGGCGACACTGGGAATGGGAAGACTGGGAATGGGGCCACCGGCAGCAGGGACGCTGGGGGCAGGGACAGCTGGGGACAGGGCCCAGGGCCAGCCCGAGCAGGGCCAGCCCGGCCGCTGGCTCTCTCCCCGGGCAGTGGGTTGCCGTGGGCATGGCAGCCCCAGGGCCGGTGGCGCGAGCCCCCCATGGGCAGCCGCCACGGGTCCTGGCTCACCGAACCCCCGTCCCCGCAGGGCCAGCTGGGTGCTCACCATGGCTACAGCACGGCTTATCACCTGGGGGCTGCTCCTGGCCACCGGGGTCCCCACCGGGGTCCAGGGAACGCTGTCGGCGGGGCTGTCCCCAGGTGGGACCCTGCAGCGGGGCAGGGACCCCCTGCATAGCCCTGCCTGGGGACAGCAGCGGCCGGGCCCATCCCCTGCCTGGGAAGCATCAGGGGACCCGAGCGGCGCCGGGGGCCCTGGGAGCGAGCGCTGGGGGGGCGGCAGCCTCGTGCGCTGGTCCCCACCGCTGCAGGCCGGGGATGCCACCGGGGCATCCCTGGAGACGGAAACCACCGTGGCAGGCGCTGGCACTGGGGCCTGGTGGAACGGTGGCGCAGCCCCAGCCGTGGCGGAGGAGCCGCTCATTGCCTGGCAAAGACACGAGGCTGAAGGCCAGGACAGCCCGCGGGGGGGGACCTGGCTGCCCCATGGCTCTGCATTGGGGACACCGGGCCCCGAGGTGCCTGCAGACACGGGGCCGGGCTCTCCGGGGCTGCCCTGGGCAGGGCAGAGTGCCGCCGGGCCAGCCGGCACCCTCAGCCCTCGGCTGACCGTGTCCACCGTTGCCCTGACCCCCATGCTGGCAGCAGGGACAGGGACGGGGACAGCAGACACCCACGCAGGGGGACAGCCAGTGCTGGGGGGATCCACGGCGGCCCCGGGCACACAGTTCGCTCCAGCCAACAGCCAGCCTGTCCCACTGGGCACTGTCCCCATCCCCCACCCCACGAGCACAGGGCCAGCCCAGGGTCCCCACGCCAGCCCCAGCTCCCCACAGCCAGTGGGCAGACAGGGGGACCTGGGGGGGACCCCCAGCCCCTCCCTGGCTCTGCCCAGCTCTGCCCCACGGCTGCCCCCCACAGCCCCATCCTGGGGGCTGGCTGAGCCCTGGACCCGGGTGCTCCCAGCTCACCAGCGCAGCACCCGGAGGGCCCCGCTCAGCCACGCCACTGCCAGCCCTGGGGACGCAGCCCCTCGCACGGACCCCAGGCCAACGGGGCAGCAGGGACCCCAGCTCGCCCCGGGGGCTGCCCTCAGCACCAGCCCCGCACCACCACCTGCCTCCAGCATGGCCCCCCCCGGCACAGGTAGGAGCTGGCATGGTGTGCGGGACCCCTCGGCAGGGACCGAGCCCCCGTGGGTCCCAGTGCCCGGCTCTGCCCTCTCTCGCAGGGCTGCTGCCCGAGGAAGATGTCGGCTCCCCACAGCGGGTCCGGGGCGCTGTGGGCCCCGTGAGTGCCCCAAACGCCACCGAGGCCTCCTCACGGCCAACGGCGCATCCTGCCAGAGGGACACCTGGGACCAGGCACTCAGGTGATGCAGGGCTGCTTCCAAGCCCATCCATTCTGCAGACGCAGTGGGAGCCCATCCCCGGGGCATCGGGGCTGGTGGGGGGAGGGAGGATGGCAGCTATCTTGGGCCGCCCAGACGGGACATGGTGACACCTTCAATCAGGATTGTGCCTGGCGACGGACCTAATCTACTCCTGCCCACAGGGATTAGTATTAAGTGCCCGGCAGGTGGGGGCTTCCCCAGGGAGTGTCAGGGACATGACCGGTGCCGTGCCACCCCCTGGCACCGTGGCACCCCCTCTGGCACCGCAGGTCCTGCCAGACACCCCTGGGAGGTGCCGGTGGGCACAGCCCTGGCCAGCACGGGGCACTCTTCCTTGCGGTGCCGGGGTGCCACGGCTGGTGCATCCCAGTGGGGGTTGCAGGCAGGGGCTGGGTGCCGCCGAGCCCCCCACTCCCCACTGACTGTCCCCCTCCTTCCCGCCTGCAGATGCCCGAGGGACGCAGCCCCCCGCCCACGGCACCGC